GTCACTCCTCACCTGAGGCTGCGGCTGTTCTCCCTCCCGCACTGAGCCACGTCTACGCCGAGCAAAGACCGCAGCGCGACGACAACTAGGGCAGGCTGTTTCTGGAGCTACTGTAAATGAACCAAAAAGCAGCTGCACACAGAACGTCAGCGTTTCACGAAGAACCATGTTTAATATTCCTCCTCAATGTATGCCGCAACAAAAGCTGGATGCTGCTGAAGCACGATTTCATCATTCACAGCGGATTGGCATGAAACGGGAGCGAACACAAAATATTAAAGGATTACATACAACCCTGGTTAAAAAATGACAAGATACGCACATATTAAAAACCACCCCAATTATTAAAAGTGTCACCAATGAAAAGTAAAATGTATTTAACTACAATCGAACAAATTCTTTTCTCCTTGTAGAGTTTACCCACGAAAGTAAACAATTACTTGCATGGCTAACATCATGGATTTTCCTTGACCAAGCAGTAGCAGTAGTTAAACAAACACATACTGGTAACGAAGTGTTTCAGATTCACTTTTACAATTAAGATACAGGTAGAGACATTCACTTCTAACATAGGTCCTTTCAGTCAGAAAATACGCAAGGGAAAGCAGTCATGTTGAATTAGACATGGCAGGCTGATCAACTTTACAGGCTGCATCCTCAGGCAAAGGATTTTTTATTACTATTGTTATATAGTGTTAACCCCTTTTTGATGAAAGGCATGAGGAACTCTTTCTAATTAGTGATTTGATCCCTGATTTTTGCCCATGCAAACCTCATTGCAGGACTGGGGCCGTAATTCCATAGAAGATCATTCATACACTGGGAGTGGGAGAAAAAACCCTGGTTCATGGAAGCTCCGGAGCTTCTCAGCATGTTAATGTGCTTACTCACAAAAATGCGACATGGATCAAGGAAGTCTTACTTCTTAAACAGCAGAGTATGATTTATACAACTCTTCCTTCAGCCCTCAGCTTTCCTGAAAAATCTTGTACACCTCAATACCTCTTTTGACTGTTCTTACTGTCGTCATTGGCAAAACTCCTTATTTAAGGAGGTGCACTTCAGATCCAAAAAACCTCCAGATCTGTCAAAGGTTTAAAGAAGATGGAAGGAACCAGCTGTATCAACCCAGCACCAGCAAGCTGTCCTAACATGACCTAGGATCAACAACAACGAGCTTTGGGCATGCCAGCATTCCTACAGGGTAAACACCACTGGTAATAAGCACCCCTGGATGCTTGCAGAACCATGCCAGCGGAGGGAAATCTCCCCAAAGGAATCCTGTCATTCTGGTAAAGGAAGTGTATTTGGCAAAAGCTCAGGCTTCTGCTGACATGGCAGTGTTTGTCAGAGCTCACTGCCCCTGCACACCCCAGCTGCCACAGCTTTTCCTACAGATTACGCTGGTTCAAGGAGCTGCTCCAGCTCTACTAACATAAGGTCAGCCTATATTGGTGTAACTATCTGTGCCAGACTTTCATCCCCTATAGATGTAGTTGTACATAACAAGAGTGTTAAGACAAGACCAAACATCGACGTCCTGTACGTGAAGAGGAGCACTGCACAAGCAGAGCTCAGCCACCTCAGGCAGACGAAGAGTTGCCTAGGAGGGCGCTGGAGCAAACACAAGCTGGAGCAGCTTAAAAGGGCTGCTCTAAGATCCATAGAAGGTGAGTTTCTACAAGCCTAGCTTTTGCAGTATTAGTACATTATCACCTCCATTCCTCTGCCAGAGCCTTATCTCGGAGCAGAGTCAGCACAAGAGAGCGCGTCCTTGGGCCTCAAGTGCTGCTGTTCATAGCCCAGAGCCGTACCTCAAGCTTCCTTTCATCAGCTTGTTAATGCATTAGGGTCTGTTTTCCACATCTCAGCAGCAGATGCTTCCTCCGCCTTCAGAGAGGGATCCATCAGAACTGACTTCTCCAAGACAGCAAATTAGGCCAGTCTCCAATCACCACACAAAGCAGCTCTAAGGCACAGATCGCAAAGGTTGTTCAAGCCCTCCTTGGAAGCACCTTGGCCTGCTTTCTGGCTAGAAAAAAGGACTGGAACCATAATGCTTATTTTTCTATTCTTCCTCAATTTGACAGTCATTTTACCATACAAATGACTAGGCCCAGACTCAGCAAACACAGGACAAGCAGCAGAACATCATCCCATCTCTTTCTTGACCCTCTCTAAGATAACTTCGGAAAAGTGACATCCTCCCCTAACTTGCATAACAGAGGAATTGCTTTCGGTCACGTCTCTGTGCCTCCCTGATGCTCCTGATACAAATAAGACGCTTTTTCTCCATATCAAGTGTCTAAATGGAAGTTGTTCTTCAGCTTCATCCACCCCTTCCCCTTTTTAAAAAAAAAATATTTGAATTAACTCTGAATGCTAGTGTAAAGGTATCACTAGCATGGCATAAGCAAGGCCCTGCTCTGACCATATAGATTTGACAAGCTCCTCCAGACTCCAAAACCAGCTTCTTTAAGACCTCTTTATTCAAATTCCTGAGGATATTTCAAGTCAGACTTCTAACAGTCCTTAACAAACAAAAAACCCCAAGAAAAAACAATCAAACAAAAAACCCAAAGCCCCTCCAAACCCCCAATCAGCATGTAGCAGGAACTCCGTAATTTCACTGCAAGTTTATGGTCTCAATACAATACAGAAAATGGGCATGGTCTTTGTTACAGAAGCAGGTCACCACCTCCAAGGAAACATTTCTCTGACTCTGAACAACAAAAGGTGGAGGAGATAACGGAAGTCAGATTCTTCTTCTGCCTTACCTCATTATTCAGTTATTATCCAGAGACTTCAGCTTGCTGGAGATGATTTTTTTTGGAGATAGCATTCAATTAAATTATGACAGAACACATCAATTAAATTATGACAGAACACATGCATTATATAAGCTGCTGTGTATCAGGAACTACTCCAAATGCAGAGCATGATTTCAGACCCTATTCACTGGTTTGATGGCACGGCTTAAATATATTAAATAAATTACGTCAGTAATAAAAGGGCCAGTAAATACGTACTATGTGAGTTATCCATCAGTTTTCTACAACTAGGAGATGGATGTCTACGTCAGCCACTTCTCGGCACAAAACGAGATCCCAGGGCTATGCCAGTTTAGGGTGGTCAAACACATGCTGATGGGAGAAACCGTTCATGAAGTGAGTAACAGCCGACGACGAGTCATGATGACAGCTGAGGTACCCAAAATATTGTAAAGCACCTTCACCCAGATGCTGCAGGACTTTACAGATCTTAAAAAGCATTTCTAGCCTTCATGGTCATAAATACTACCTAAAAAATTAGACAACAGTCTATAAGTTAATGCCCACGTATGAAAGTGCACAGAAAACAAACACTGAACATGAAGTTTTCTTAGCTTTTTGCGTCACCACATATCCACCCCATCACTTTGTGCTCTGAAGTCCAGAAAAGCATCCAAGTCAACACCAACATTTTTACTAAAGACTCCAAAACTGCACTGCAGACAATGCCTGGAATCCCCCCATACCTGCTGAGATCACCCATAAATTTTTAGTCTGTTCCTCGGTGTAGAAATGGACAGTATCACATGTTCCTACTACTGCTTGTAATTCTGAAAGAACAGGGCTAAACACAGTCATACACTTCTGCTGAGACAGATACATGAGTCAGGAGTGATCCCTCAACAGCCCAAGAAACAGCATCCCCTAGTAAAACTGCAGCTACTCAATCAACATTCGTTCTTTAATTGTACAGTACATTTCATGCCTGTAGGCTGTGCCTCTTTGCTCAGATGCACTTCAGGAGAAATTCCTTTTCAGGCTGGTAAAACACATCTACCACAAGCAGTCTGAGGCCAGACGCGCGAGGAGGCTGAAGCACCAGCAGGCAGCTACACCACCCGCAAGCCCCGCTCTTTCTGTGGGACGAACGGGACCGGGGAAGGAACCAGGCGCTCTGAGCACCGCTCCTGGCTGCGGCGGTTAGCTGTACTGAGCTACCCGAGCGTGCAAAGAAAATGCAGCACAAGACAATATGCACAGTTTCTGAATCTGGGCTATGGTGTCCTGCACAACGCTAAGGCTCTTCAGGACAAGCCAGAGTTGTGTCTGTCGCACATGTGACACTCAACACCCTCAGTGCAGACACTTTACACAAATTCTGGAGCTATGCACGCAATTACCAGGCTCTGAAAGAGCCTTGTAATTTTGTAGCCTTATAAAAGGCTACAAAAATAACCCCTTTATTATTTTGGAGGAACCAGATGACCTTAACAGCCATCAATAAAAAATTACTAAAGGGAGATACCAGATCAGATTGGCTACTGAATTGTCATAGTATGAGAGCTCCAACAAGCACTCGTGATGGCCTCACAACACTTCTGTCTGAAACAAAAAGTGGTAGGAAAATGCTCCAACATACGAGGCAATCATGAGTACTCTGCACATGCACTTAGACTAAATCCTTGTCTCAAGAAAGCAACACATGAGTAAAAATAGTCCTAGGAAGCTTCTATTTTCTGAAGAAAAACACAATCTATCATGAGAATAAGTAAAATCTTCAGAAGGAAAACACATTAGACAAAAACAGTCACTGATGACACTTTTTAATTTGATATGGCCAGACTTTTTCAAAGTAACCTGTAAAACCAACAGAGTAAGACAGAAGTAGAGGATAGGCAAGTATCATATTTACAGTCATTCAAAAGTAATAGCGTAAAAACAAATTGTGGTGACAGAAGCATGGAAACATACAAAGAATAATCTTTTTTAGAACATTATTAGAATTTTATTATATTATCTTCTTAACTATTAAAAGATTCTGTTGCATTTTTTACTGCCTGATTCTAATTCACCAACTCCTCCTCAAAATTACTTGTGATACAAAAAAAAGGAGCCACTTTTTCTGTTTATAAGCAACAAAAACACCTACTTTTGTTTTTCCAGACATCATTGAAGTGGCACAGCAGAGTTAACACCAATGCTCTATTCTTTACCATTAAATTAAAAAAAAAACAGTTGGGTAAAGGGGAAAAAAACAGACCAAGTCAGTGTAATCATTCAGTTGGATTCTGAATGACAATCAGGAAGTAGTCTTTATCTGGAGAGAAAAAAAAAAAAAATTATTTCATTGATATTTGTTCACAGCAACAGTAAATTTCAACATTTTTTCATCTCTCACTGATACACTGTGGGAACTACAGGGTCCTGGCATTCATCCTCAATGAGCACAACAGTCTTGGCATGTCAGATCACTTATTTTGATGAGTCTTACTGAGATAAAGTCTCAGCTTTAGAAACTGCATGCTCCCAAGCCAATTGAATTTAACTCAGTTTGTGCCTAGGAAATAACAGTAGCTGGCACATGCAATGATGGAATCAAAACACGTGGTGCAAGACAGTGATTTCCCATGTCTCACAGGCAGAATACTGGGCTGCAGCGACTGTAGCTGCATTTTTTCCGGAGCAATGCTTATTCCTCTCTTTTCATCCTTCATATGGAAATCAGAGGCTGCCTCAGCATAAACCCCAGAGCCTGTCTTAAGATCTGCCTTGAGCAGTCTCTGCGGAGCAGTCTACTGCAACTGCAACCCCCTCCTTTGGCTCTCCATCAGCACAATCCCACCACAGAGATGATGCGGTATGAAAGAACAAATCTGAGTTCCTGCCACATTAGTGAACTGTAATCATCTCATTGATTCACATTTCATAATTTGATGAAATACTGAGGATGTTTCCTGAAAAGAAGGTTGTCGCTGCTATATTCTACGACTCATGACTACAGCTACAATGTGCTCTATTACTTTTGTCTGAACTGGAAAAATCTATTCAACTCTCTTGCTTTACCACTTAGTCTACAGTGCTGAACTGAAATTGCTCTCAAAACATATTCCTTTCCAACTCCTGTGGTTTTATACTGAAAAACACAAAGCATGAGAGGCTGCAACATGCTCTCAAACACTATTTAACGCTTTCTACTTTGATCAACATGAAATGAGGAAAGTGATTTCCCACATTCAAACACAAAAAAGCAAACTTAGGTCAAGAAAAAGGTTTCAACTTTGAAGAAAGCAAAACAGCTTCTTGGAAGAGATTATACAGTACGAATAAAAGCAGCAGGCAGAACTTTTCTCTCAGCCTGGCAGTGTCAATCTCATGAGAAAAGAATCCTGCTGGATTCCCTGATGCCTGCTTTCGCCCCACTCACTTTTACCTGGTGCAACCATGATTTCATTTTTCTTGGAGCGGATCCGCAGGAATGTGAGGTCATTCTGGGGATCAATGTCCCGCACTGTGCTCCTTGCCTTCATGATGAAGCTGTGCATGAGGCCCGCATACTGAATCGTTGTGGAGTTGTCCATAGTACTTTTGATAGGAATACCTGCAAGAAACAGGGGACAGCAAAGGTCAGCGACAAAACTCCAGAACTAGCTCCTCCTTGGGCATCATCAGGTCCAACTGGAGTGGCTATCTAACCTAGGCAGGTGTTGTGGCTACATCAGGGATTAGGAGTGTTCTTTTAAGCCTTTAAAAAGAACAACATGAACAGAACTCATGGGTTGAGATAGATAGCTTAATAGGGCGGGAAAGAAAAGAATAATCATAATAATGATGATAAAAGAAAATACAAAACACTGGCACAGGTTGCCCAGAGAGGGGGTAAATGCCCCATCCCTGGAAATATCCCAGGTCAGCTTGGACGGGGCTCTGAGCAACCTGATCCAATTGAAGACGTCCCTGCTCATGGCAGGGGAGTTGGACTAGATGGCCTGCAAATGTCCCTTCCAGCCCAAACCGTTCTATGATTCTATAACATAGGATGTGGAAAGGCTAAGATCTGGAACCACAGGTGTAGGTGAGAACTGTTTACCTCTAGTAGCATCAGTGCTTTACTTTTGCTTTTTCATATATTTGTTTTTTTTTTTTTTAAATGAGATTTATAAATAGAACCTACAAAAGCGTCTTGTCTGGACATTTGTAAGGGGGGGGGGGGCACACGACGACATTCCGATATTTCAGTTTTGTTCTCCTGACTGGGGACAGCATTTCCTTTCAGAAATAGACTCCTGAACGTCAGCTAAATGACATTCAAGTAATCTAGGCTGGAATTGTTGTTTATTATACAGGACATTAGCTGCTGCATCACAGCTACAAAGCTGAGGCTCCAATGTTTAGCCATAAGAGTTGATGCAGTCCTGTGAGGTCCCTGGTTCAATGCCTGTGCACCAGCCAAAAGAGCAGACACACCGACACTGTTTGGCCAGAGCTTTCCCTCCCTCCCCAGAGTTTTCCCACAAAAACCTAGCCAAAATTCAGCTCGCATGTCAGAACAATGCAGCAGCAAACTACCAAATACTGGCATGGCAGAAAAACTGCTGCAGGTGTATGTTTAAATATTCACTATCACGAAAAAGCAGCAAGCAGGAACACAAGCTATATAAAAGCACACAATGCTCTGACCTTCAATATATTCACATATAGCTACTATCTGTCATATTTTCAAAGGATTATTTCCAGGAAATATTCAATTTAAATTGATAATCACACAATTTTAAAAAGTTGGGCTGCTCAGAGTGCATTTAGAGTGCTCTGAACAAGTCTGCTCTGTTGGACCCCTCAATGACTCCAAAGAGAGACAACCAGCTTATGAGTCTGAGGCCATGAGCACAAGACAGCTGCTAAGCTACTTGAGTCTGCCAAGACAGCAGCATTCTGGACATGCACAGCGGCAAGATTTCAGATGTCATGAGAGCTTTTAGTGCTGCTGATAAATGCTTTGACAGAACACAGTCTCAAACACTGTCATAACTCAAATATTTCTAAGCTTTTGCAATTTATTTTATCTAATTTATTTCCTAAAATAATAAAGTGAGCTTGCAGAAAAGCAGAAATGGGAATCCAGTTTTCTCTTGTAGCCTAACTATTGTCTATCTGCTTTGGCTACAGGAAAACCTTTGCTAAAGGCAAACTGTAATCTAAATGCAAGTAGTACAACCAGCAGTCCTTAAAGCACACGTTTAAAATAAGTTATATCTCAGAAAATCGAGACTGACACAGTACCTTCAGAATTAACAACAATGATTCCTTGCACTCCTTTTTGGCTCTGAATTCGCTTCAGTGTTTCTTCCACCTCAGCCTGCAAACGGAGAAAGCACAAGTCAATAGAATATTACAGCTGCTATTTGCCTTTCACCAAAGCTTTGTAATAATGTGTCTGAAAATAAAGCTGCACAGAGGTGATTCAAAGAGATCCTACCCTATGCTGTTCTATACAGAAAAGTGTCTCTGTAGTTTGGTACTGCCTTTTCTGCATGACCTTTTCAGTTATTTCCCATCTCTCTTCGCTCATTTGTGATCATAATCTTGTGGAAACTTGGAACTCCCCTCTAAGCTTTCCCTCTCTCCTCCTCCCCAACCCTCCCACAACCTCATGCATCAGCTCTTTACTGTAGGCTGGCAACTGGAAGACTGCTTAGTCAGACTGCTACAATTTAGGCACTGAGCAAAAATCAGGTACGAAAATATACATGGTATTTATCAGAAAAGTAGAAAAAGATACACTCTGGGTGCAAGACCACCTTCCCTTTTATCAAATGAATGCTAAGAGTGACTACAAATAAGAAAAGTGAGGGGAAAAACAATGAATAAATGCTATTTATTTATAACTATAATTTGTGCTGGGATAGCTACAAGATTACAAGCAGTAACAATAATTTACAACTTTGCAAAATCAACTTAAAAAAAGAAATTAAAACTAAAGGCCAAGGCAGTAGTCTCTTTGCCTTCAGATCACCATCAACTTCAGAAGAGCTTTCAAACCCTTCTGCACATCTTCCGTTGCTACAGGACATCAATAAAAATTTAACTATGGATCCTCCAACAGGGTCATAAAACCTCAGCACCTCAGCTGTCTTCCACAGCTGGGTGGATATTTAGCATTTTTTATTCCCATTAAAGGAAACTGAGACAAGGCAGTGTCCCACAGAAATGGTCTAGGAGAGAAGATAGGAATCACCTGAACTCGGGAAAGGCGAGACCTATAATGGGGCATTTGGCCAAGACGGCTGCGTTTCTTAGGTGTTGTGAATAACCCTCTCTCCACTTCTACCCCGCAGCAAATGAACACAGTCGTCTTATAAGCCCTGTTCCCTGGGAAGAGGCCTTGTCCTAACAAAACGACGTGGCCTCAACCTCAGAACTACTAGCAAACTCTCTGCAGAGTGTTGTTAGTACAAGTAGCTTGGGGTAACACAAACTGTGGCTGGTAAGAGATGGCACGACCTGAGTTTGTCTTTATGAATCAGAGGTTTTCTGTGTTATCCAGAATAGAAAAATTCAGTCTTTTCAACAAAGCTCTTCATTATTTCTGAATGCTGGACTATTTTCAAGTGGAAGACAAGGGAAGTAAAACAAAGAACAAACTACAGCGCTGAGAGAAATACGGTAGCACACTATTAGGTCTGAAATAACTTTCTGACTTCTTACTAGCAGTATTTATGTCCTGATTCGTTAAATACTTTCCTTCGTTGGACCTTAACAAACCCGTTTGGATGCAAAGAAGCATCCACACAGAATGATACCAATTTTTAATTTCTTCTAACAACCACCAAGGTGGGGTGATCTGCTCTAACAGTTCACTGCTGTTGATGCGGGAAGGTCTTGCTCCTCCTGTTCACACTCCCCGACACACACGTAGCGCTTCACACACACCAGCTCTGGTGCTTGTTCAACACCTCTGCAAGCCAGTTCAACTCACTAGACTATGAAAAATATTACTGAGAAAAAAAATTAAATATTTAACTCCTAAAAAAACCAAAAACTATCTTAAAAAAGGGCTGAATAGTTACAAGAGACAGTATATGGGGAAGGAGAGGTACACCCTGGGAAAGGAGGATAAATACTCTCCCATCACCAATTTGCTCTCATATAACCTTTGCTGCATATACAACAGTAGCCTTTACCTTCCTGTTTTCATCTAGAAAGCTTTAACCCCCTAGGTTTGCCTAAAAAATACATTTTATGAGACCATTTTGATTTTCCACCTACAACTTCGGTCAGTATTTAATTCTTTAGACGTTTTTCCACATATTCTGGTCCCCAATTTCACGAGTATGCGCTAGCCAACGATACATTTGAACAGGAAGCAACCTCCAATACAATTACCATAAAATAAATATGTTCCAAGTTCCACAAAACAGCCTTTTACACCAGTCTTTTTTTTCCCGACTGCCTTCAGCTTTCGGAATTGTAACCTGCTAGCCCTAAGAAACGCAGGATGTCCTCCGAACGCCTTCAGCCTGCCATCACACGGCGCACGCAGCTCGGGGCTCCACAGGATTAACTGGAGGTTGGTGGGAGTCGTACGGTCCCCCCGCGGTGACTGTGGGGCAGGAGCCCACGGCCCGCGCTGCCAGGCAGGCTGGGCGCAGTGGACGGTGGAAGACCTCCGTGCCAAAGCAGGCCCCCCCTCCTCCC